TTTTTTTTTTTTTTTTTTTTTTTTTTTCTGCAGAACTTTGTCTGTTTGACTTAATGACAAACTTTTGCAAACTTAAAGAAAACAATACTACAAAAAGTTTCACAGGTATTCAATAAATTTTTTGCTTCTTCATTAGTTTATTAACAAAATTTCCTACTTTTTTTTTTTCTTTATAATTTGTACTTTGACGTTGCTGAAAATTGATACATCTAAAAAAAAAAAAAGACAATGATGATACAATTATAAAGCTTATTTATTTTTTTTTTCATTTAATCACAGTTATACAAATGACTTTTCTAATAATTACAGTATTGTACAGTAAAGAACAGCAGGCGAAACAGATCAGTTGGAAGCAATACTCTAACAGAGCAAATGATCAGTAATTAGGTGTTGTTAGATCGCTAAAATGGTCAAAGAAGATGCATCTAAAGATCAGAATTGTTTTGACAACGACAATGGCGCTGTTATTGAATAGAGACAATAATAATAATAATAATAATAATAATAATAATAATAGTAGTAATAATAATAATAATAATAATAATAATTATTATTATTATTAGTAATAATAATAATAATAATAATAATAATAATAATAATAACAATAATAATAATAATAATAATAATAATAATAATAATAATATAATAATAATAATAATAATAATAATAATAATAATAATATAATAATAATAATAATAATAATAATAATAATAATAATAAGAAGAACAAGAGTACAATATTGTTCATAAATGTTAAAGAAGCAGAGATAATTAACTTCACTTTTTCGGAATAATAGTAATTCGTCGAAAATTTTTGTCAAAGTGAAATCCAAATCCAATTTCGAATGCATTTGAAAATTTTTTAAACTACATTTATTAACCATATCAGATGTTGTAGACTAAAATTCTGTTTTGGTCTAGAAAAAGTTAATTAGAAAAACAAAGCCTATCAAGTACCAACCAAGTAGGCAGAAGTGGTAATGTTTAGCAAAAGTAATTGATTAGTTGTTCACATTTATAAACTTTAAGAATACTATCACATTTTCGCTGTTTTTTGATTCTTCTGTTACATAAACCTTTCAAAAAACTATGTTCATTTATTTTCTTCTGCATTTCCTCATTTACTGTTTTAAGTCGTTGCACAAAATCTGTTATCTTATCTGCGTATTTAAACATTACTGTTTTACAATTACTTTCTACTTAAACTTGTTGAATTGGAATTCAATTATTAGCATTATTATTACTATTATTATTTTTATTATTATCACTACTGTTAATATCTTTATTAAAGTTATTTTTAATACAGTAGAAAAGTAGAATAGCAGAAGGAAAGAGCAAACAGTAATTACACAATTTTTTCAACATTAAAAGTCAGAAACAAGTTTTTAAAAACAAAAAAAAATTTTATCGTTTATTAAAACATCTATTAGGTTACTCTATTAGACCTCAAAATTCTAATATTCATTGATGCTTTTTAGGCAGTTTTAAAGAGTAATTTTTTTTTTTTTTGTTAAATAACAAAATATCAACTTTAATAATTTTATTCTGTTACTTTTAGTTCGTTTTTTGGTTGCAAGATTTGGATGAAGTTTATGTGGTTCTGAATGAAGATAAACAGAATGTACAGTGATGAAAAAAAAAAAACAAAAAAAAAAAATACAACTATCAAAAATGTAGGTTTTCTATTACTTCTGACGTCTGCTATCCATCAGCGTAACAGCAAAACCAAGAAGCTTCTTATATTTTTCGTGTTGTCTCAGACGGTTTGGTTCTTCGGCCACTGAACTGTTTGAACATCATAGCACTTTTGGTATTGGCGTTGTTCTGCATCATTAAACCACCACCAAAACCAGCTCGCCACCTTTCGTTTGCCAACCTCATTTTTGTTCCATTTGGATAACGAGACTGTAAAATACAGTGTTGCTAATGTCAGTGTTTTCAAAATATTAATCTTTTTTCTTTTCAAAAATAAAGTTTTTCAGAATTTTTTAAACTATACACATAGCACTAAAAGCAATAGTGAATATGTTACCTGCCAATACGGTCCTTTTGTACGACTGGTCAAACAGTTAGCTACATAAATCGAACAAACGGCTAATGAAATAAAACCAACTGACACAAAAATAGCCCATGGTGGGATTGATGGATGAAGTTTATGTGGTTCTAAAATGATAAAATTGAAGCAAAGCAGACATAGAATGCTGATGATATTTTTAGTGCTGAATATTGTACGTTTTTGGTAGCTTGATACAGTCAAAACAATTCTATAAAATACTGCAATAGGCTTCTAAATTTATTTGGTTGAAAGAATTTGGATAAAAACATACTTTATTATTTAAGCTTCTTATAACTTCAAAAACTTTGAAAAATAATACTCAAAAAAACTGACATCTGTAGACCTATTTAAAACAAGTATTAGCAGTACTAAATTCTTAACAAACAATGGTGACGTCCTACTTTCAGGCTTTTTTTTTCTTTTTTTTTGTGAAAAACAAATGTATTTTTTAAAGTTTTCGGTAGCTGCATTAAAATATCGTATAAGTTTTTACTATAAATTAAAACTGTTAGGTAAGTGACAGTAACAGTGTTCAGTGCGATACTGCTTTTTACGCTTATAAGTTACATTATCGTTTCAATGTAAAGGTCATGCTTACAAATTACTGCTAACACTAAAAGTTATACCTGAAGAAATCAGTTTCTTAAGTGTTACCAAATAGTTGTCAATTGCCTCATATATACTATAACGTGATGCAACTGCAATTGGTTGAGAGTACTTCGACAAATACCTTAGTTCATGTCTGAAAAGTATACCTTTTATTTATAAATCTATCACCAAATGTAGAAAAATTGCTGATAATTACTGAACATTTATTGACAGTTTTTTCTTGCACAATTAACTGACCATTAACAGCTGCAGTAAATATTTTGAAGTTTCTCTGAAAGTTAAAAGTTTTAACTTTTTTATCAGTTATATGAAGAACTAAAAGATTACCCAAAAATAGGTACAATATGAGATTTTTTTATTCGTTCAGGACCAAATGCTGTTATATAAACCAAAAGAACGTCAGCTTTACAGTCATTCATCCAGTGTTGAGACAGTTCTTCAGCATATGTTAAAGCTAACTGAGACCAGGTGTAGGGAGTGTTGTAAGCTGATATATAACCACAGCGTTTTAACCTGCAACTATTATCACTACAGCGATTTAAGTACCGAGTTTTTTGTAAGAGAAAAGCAATAAGGTTAGAAAATGGCACAATTTTGACAGGTTAAATGATGGTTTTAGCATCAGAAATTTTTGCCATTTCGTAACTAAAGCAGTTTTATTACTAGACGTCTAAGGTGATTTGATAATTTTTACACAAAGTAATTTAAGTTGAAAATTTAACCTTTCTGCACTGGTGTAAGGCACAATAACAATAGACATTCGAAATCGGACTGTATGACAGCTTCTTGAATACTGGCAGAAGCAGCTGGATATGTTTAGTGGACTAATTACGGCATCCAACATTTCAATTTCCGTTCGTGATAACGATCCTTCAAAGTTTACAACTTTTTAAACTATTGAAAACTGACAATTATCAAGTTAATTTGTTTATAGAGACGGTAGTTTTTACATGCTGCTATAACTAAAAACGTAATTTTATGGTTTAAAAAATGATTGAAAATACTATAAATTAGGCACAGAAAAATTAAAAATTTTTGTCAAAATTTTTGATATATTTAGACTGCCAACAAATAGAACTTACCTGACGGATCACACACATAAGGTTTTTCATGATAATCGAATTGACAAAATGTGTTAAAATTAGATGATGATGATGGTTTTAGCATGTGACATGGTGAACTCATCAGATCACTTAAACGAGTTTGACGAGTCATTCTGTAAGAATTATGAAAATGTAAGAATTATGAAAGAAGTTTAATTTTTCTTGTCTTTTACTGTTAGTCTTAAAAGATTTCGCTCTTCTTTTTCATCTTCAAAAAACCTATGAATATTCAGAAACGTCAAAAGCGATACAGCATTATTTGCTTATTGTTGCACATACACATCAACCAAAAACGTTTAAATTTCAAATTTACGGTTCAAACAACTAGAATGCTTGTTGTCATAAAACTGATTAAAAAGGTTAAATTATAAACAGAAGAGAAAAAAAAAGTAGAAAACATAAAACAAGCCTTTTTGAGGGAATCCAAAATTTTGTTTCAACAATTTGGATTATCAGCGAAAGTGCGCAAAGCACTTCTCCTATTTGCATTAGAACATTGGTTCTGTGGATTACAGTTAATGTACAATTATTTTTTCCATCTGTTTGCTGAAATCCTTAGAAAATACGTAGTAGTATAAATGCTGAAAATAATTTTGCAATTGTTTAATGTTGTTAATATAAGTATTAAATATTAACATTTGTGCGTACACTGATATACATTATAGTCACCAAATGTGTTCTCAACAAATTTTTTGACGTTATTGTTCTAGAAATACCAAAAAGATAATAAAATTACTGGGCTGACAAAAAAACTACTGGCTCATTATAACTGTGTCTATGGCTAAGTTTATTTTTACTGATTTTGACGACAATAAGCTGCCTAAAAAAACCAGTTAGAGAAAATGACAAGTTGAACGAAGATTATCTAATCACCTATAAAGTAGCGACAGCGAACATTTTGAAAGACTGATTAGGATTTTTCAGCATGTAATTTAATAATCAATGACGACTACTGCTCAACTTTAAAACTGTAATCGTTTTACGTTAGTATAGTCCTAAGCAATTGTGTCGTAAAAAAAAAACAAAAGAACGAGAACAAGGAAACAGTGGAAAATATATATAT